CCTGTTTCATGGCTAAGCAATAAATACAAACACTACAGTAAATAGATAGATATTTATTTTACTACTATAGGTACTAAGTTATGGGTTTTGAAACATTTGTTTCCTCGCTTTTTCGATAACCTATGTCAATAGTCATTATTTAAACTATATTAGATTATACTCGTATTCATGTAGTAATTACAGGTAAAGCAATAAACAACATTCACGCCAAAACCCTCAATAATTATATAAATGCGTGTAATCACTTAACATAGGTAACTAATTATATTATCATATTGTACGTAAACTTGGCAAAATTTCGTAAACAAACATTGTGAATGCGAGCATATTTATGTGAAACAGGGTGTAAACGTCATGCTTTATAAGTACGCGCTGTTGCCCAAAGCGACATTCCAAAGAAAAACCTATACATGTCGAAAACAACCAATCATAAATTAGCACCAACCAATTACTTTTTTATGGGTCACATCATCATCATCATCAGCCTATTGCCGTCCCCTGCTGAACGAAAGCCTCCCCACCGTTCAAATTAAAGCTGATCGAATAAAGAAATTCTAAATTAATCTTAAAAATATTTCTTTACGGTTTGAATTGGATAATTGTTCTTTAATTTGATTTATTTTTGGGTCTTTTAACTACTCTTGTCTACTCGTATTCTTTATGTATTATTCTACTCCCAATGCTTTAGGAGAGAAATGAATGTAGAGTTAGTTCATCTTATAATATTTTTCTTTATTATAATAATGATATTCGTATATATTTGTATGCAATATGTTTAAAAAAAAACTAAAACAAGACGTGTGTAGGCAGGAGAACTAAGTGGCAATTGTTCCTCCGCCCTCCGAGCCTTTTTCCAAAACTAGATTGGGGTCAAATTCAAGTCTACTACGATACGGCTGAACTTCGATTTTTCACGTGGAGCGACTGCCATCAAACCTTCACACCCCAAGTACTAGGCGATATCGAAGTTTTATAGAAAAAGACTGTTGTCGAACTTTTTAGGTCTCCAATTACCCACAACGATTGCCAAAGATGTACGTTCCTCTCCGAGGCACGGACGGGTCTCAATGTGTTAAGAATGGTCACCAGACCAGAGCCAGGTCAAGCTAGGATTGCTTAACTTTGCAATGCGTTATCCTACTCGATTACTGCTTAGAACTTAGAAGCAATATCTGAAAAAATTACTGTGGGTATTGGGGAGTAGATTTACTATTTGAAAATATGTATTCAGTGACAAGTGTAAAAATCCTCATGGGTACAACCTCACCAGAGCCATCGGTGAGGTTGTATATCAAATTGAGCCGGGTATGCTGTACCACACCTGTAATGGCAATATTTGAGGTGTATTTCCTAGCCCGCAAATGGCAACCAGGCTAAAATTAAAAAAATGAAATCCTACCATCATCAAAGTCCCAATTTATCATTGCTATACCCATTGGAATGACAAGGCAACACGTTAATCGTATTATCTTTTACATCAATTATTAAAACTTACTCCTTTACTACAGAAAGATATCACGAAATACTATACACCTTGAGTTTTGCTTGACCAAAACCAATCGCTTGTGCAAACTATAGTATGATCTAGAATCTAAAATATTACTAAATTAAATTAGAAATCTGCGTTAATATTTAGGAAATCAATTTCAAGGCCTTTTCAGAAGCCGTTCTGCTTTGTAACGCTATAGTAAGATATTAGTTAATACAGAAATAATAGAAATTGTTTTCTTTTCTTTTATGAAATGTAAATATCAGCAGTGACCATTATTTTTGTACTAATGATGCATACAATAGTATATATTAGAGTAACTCGCATACAAAAGCGGGGAGCCATTATAAAATAACACCTAAACTGAAAGTTTAACAATTTATGTTCCTAATTATTGCATAAAAGAAACAATGGGATATACATTGTTTCTTTTTATCTTAGCTCTCCCTTTTCAAGTATTTTATTTCCACATGAAAATAAAACAATGAAGGTCATCTGTACCTCATCGATACAGGTCTGTCTATTAAAAATTCTCTATGGCTGAACACGATAGTTGCTAGGCTAATCGGCGTCTTGCATGCTCCCTCGTGAAAGTGCAAGTTGCATGGACTTGCGTGTCTATGATACTTGATGATCGAATCAGCTAGACATCACCAAATCTGGTAATAGTACTAAACCATAACGAACGAAAGATAGTACTGGCACATTTAAACAGATCGAAATTATACTGGTAATGGTAACAGTAATATGATCTTATCTTAATTCGTTTCCACTTACAAAAATATGTTTTGTAATCTTCAGTGAAAAAAAAAGTTCATGCTTGTAAACTGTCTAGACACATATGCTAATTTATGATTTATTTTAAACATAAAATAAGAACATGAATTTTGAATTATTCAAGTACGTAATACAAACGCGATGGATGTAAAAGTTAATAAGAAAATATTGTAGGTGCTTAATCTCCTATGTATTAACATCAATTTCTAAACTTAACGAGTAAATACACAAAGATAAGTAGAACCTGTGCTTAAAACGTCGTATATATATGTGCGTTTAATGCATGACTTGACAGGCTGATAGCCTATTCAGCATTGAGCTAAATAACTATAAATATTTACATTGTTGTTGTATATATGGACCATCCTACCATGGACCATAATAAAGGATACTATATCCATGTAAAGAGACTTTATTAAAACAAAATTGTCCCTTGCCAACCTTGTTGACTTGATAGATAGATTAATTTGGATTTAGAAAGTTCAATTTCGACATACGAGTAAATAGTACAATTGAGTTATGATTTGTTAGGCATTTTTTAGGAAAATCAATTGAGCAGGGTACTGAATATATAGAATAGCAAAGCAAGTGATATCGTACGTCATCATGATTAAAATGCAGTTAGTCTAGTATTTGCTAAGGCCTCAGCCTTTCACAACTGCGTGCCAAGAATTCCTGCAACGAGCAGCCGGGCTAACTTGGTAAGCTTTGTAAGTTATTTAGTTATTTCGTACAAAGTGAAATATTATTATACCTACCCTCAAAATAATGCAATTCGTGTTCATGTGTATGTATATATGTCTCATTTTAAGCACGGTGCCCACCAGTTTACAGACATAATGTTTTAACCGTTTGATAGATTTTCACATATTATACGGTGATGAAATTCCGTATTCTTAGTCCGTCATTATTTTTATTTACTATTCATTCCCTATTCATCCCGTGGGTGTCATAAGAGCCGACTAAGGCAGCAAATTACGCAGGATAACAGCACTGCAAAAAAAAAGGAAAACTTGACACAAACCTCCTTTCAAAATCTCCTTTCTGAATAGAGGCCTTTGTCCAGCAGTGGACTATTAAAGGCTGTTAATGTGTAATGATGATGCTGTGATATGGTCAACGAAGGATTATTCCAGATGTCTTAATAAAAGCTATTCGATTTCGACACACCGCCCAACCGCGGACCCCGGTTGTGTGACGGCCCGAGTGGGTTTCCACACCGACAAAAAAATGGTTTTATAATTATAATAATATTTATTTAGATGAAGAGTACAATAATTTATAATAAATGGTTCTCTAATTAATAAATTAAATACAGTTGTTGTCTGTTTGCCAGAACTAGGTTGAATCTGTGTCTCGGGCGAAGAAGTGCTTACAAACTATTTTGTCAATATAAATCTACATCACCACAATTAAATTATAATATTCTAATAGCCTACATAAGCAACTAGCAACATCAGTGATAAGTGGGTCAAAAATAATGCACTAAGACCGTTCAGTAAATTTTTATTTACATATTTCAAGTAACTACTCAGTTTGCTCATACGACAAAATTTGTAAATACTTATGTAATGTGTTTTTACAGCTGACATAATTTAATTTATAAATATTTAGCTCTCTATTTAATCTATTATTTAGAAATGGACATAAACTAGAACATAAATGGACATAAATTAATCTATTAGATATTATTATCATTTTATGGTGGATGCAGAACGGTTAAGTGGTACAATTTTAGGTGATCTGATTCCAATACACCGCCTCTCAGTAAACCCCAATACGATGACAACCTGAAGGGGTTTCTGGATAGTGGTTTTAAAAATAAGGAGTTAATTTATAACAGTCTTATATATATGCTATAATCCCGATTGCGTAAATCTTTCTGTTTTAATTTAATTATTACTCATTATTTGGATACTTTTCGACAAAATTTCATTGAGTTCGAAAGATTTTTTTTTATTTCTTTTATCCGTAACAAACTCGTTACCATGTACATTTATTTCCCTTCCTATTTCCGTCTTAGACACTTTTCTAAACTATGATATATGCTTTCACATTCCTAATGAAGTGAAACTGCATCCGTAATCACATATATACAGAAATGAATATTAGCATCTAGGAGTAAACAAAACAATTGTGTGTCAAATTGTTGAGCTATTAACGTCTATTCTCTGAATGGCCACAATCACATCGCTACAGTATTCTTTTAGCATGAAGTCATGAATGTTGAAAATATGCTGCTACAGGATGTCCTCTAAAAACTTTACTTCATAAATATTTCCTATCACAAATCTTATTAAGATTTTGTAATAAATTTGTTCTCTTCAAGTGTTTGAAATCATTTTACGTCTGGTTGATTTAACAACCAATAAATTTTACTGAAATCCTTTGTCCAGCAATTTGTCATGACTACGTTAACACCCATTAGGTAGGTATCTAAAGTTATTCCCAACGTGGCGGCAGAAAGCACCTTTAAATTGACGGCAAATAACGCTGTCTACGCGCAAGTAATCCCAGTAATGAACAAACAACATTATAGAGCATCCCGTATGTCGTGAAACACAACAATATTATTGTTTACATGATTGTTTTCTTCGTCACCTGAACATGTAATCATAGCGAGCCGTGCGCACGTCAGTATCCTGATCAGAATCAATCAAATCACTTCATGCTTTTTTTTCTAAAAAACAGTAAAAATGGAGTGTTTGTGTGAACGGTAATACATTAGTGCACCATGCCTGGAGGTAACCTGGTCAGGAGCGAGCGGTTTCGGAAGGGTCCCCGGACCCCTCGTACGGCACACGCTAGATATTATTACACCAGATCTTTGGTGTTAGAATCTCCTGTTAAGAAGAGACCCCATACTCCTAGAATAAGGTAAGATTATCGATACTGATAATAAACTTGCGACCTCCCGGATTTTCCTTTTGTTATTTCTGATAACATTAACAAAAACAAACTATCCTGGCATTCGTTTTTAGTAAATTTCAATTGGGACTCATATCAGTCATATAAAAGATTTTTTGTTTGTATGTTTATTGAAAATTACTGATAGACAACTTTATTTCCTTCCTTCAATTACTGAAGGTCGTGTCTGATTTGATAATCCTTCGTGGATGTTCTTTTATAAAGCTGTGTAATAAAAGATGTGCTACTTTATGAAATAAAATTAAATTCTTGAAGCAACACATGCGGACACACTCATCTTACATCGAAGTCTATCTAAGGCTTCTAATTAGTTTTGCCTTTTTTTGTCAGTCATATTTTTATCTTATCTTCTTGTCATACTTTATGAACCCTTTGGGTTCTTATTATCCATATATATATTTAATATACTTAAAAATCATAAAGTTTTGTGCAACTGAAACTATTTAATTTAAATATGTACTTACATTACAACATGGAATTGTGAACTTTAACTAAGGTTGATGGTTGCTAAGAATTTTTTTGCTCATCACAATGCAATTAGTGAAGTACCAGGTAAACTCTTGAACAATTAACTTCCCAGTAGCAGGAAATGTAACATTTTATAAAAGGTAATAAACAGTTGACGTTAAGTTATTGTAATTAGAAAAATCCACCTTTAAGTGTAAATAATACATCATCATCATCATCAACAGCCTTTAATAAAAAGGAGGGTTGATAAAGGGTTTGTGTCCAGTTTCCTATCTCTTTGCAGTGCTGTTGTCCTGCGTAGTTTGCTCCCTTAGTTGTTTTACGACACCCGTGGGATAAATAGGCGTGGTGACACTCAGTATTCTTAATCCGTCACCACACGGATATTAATAATAAATAATTAGTACATGAATAATGCAGTCTCTTATGACCTTGTAGTTTCTTTCCCTTTTTTGGAATGAGACATTATAATGTCATCATTATTAAGTATATTGTGGACCAATAGAACAAATACAATGCAAGTTAATATATCAAGTCTATAGGGTTTTATTTCAAACGACACGGACGTATTAGTTACATAAATGATGGTATTAAATCTAATGAGAATTCGCTTGGTGGAGTCACGTTCGAATCTTGCGGCAATATCTGCGATGATGCCAAGAATCCTACTTACATCAAAGGTTACTTTGTACCACATAAACTTTACTATTTCTTATTACAGAATGTATTCGCTTCTAAATATAAAGTACTTAAGTTTTGTAGTACAAAGCAATTTTTTTTTTATAATCTCATAAGTGCCGAAAATGACAAGCAAATCTAAATAAAGTGTATGGTTTTGATATTCCGTCCTACCACATTATAAACACCGCATACAACACCACGTTATAATAAGATTTATAATTTGTTGTTGTTTGTTTGTGTGTTTTTCTGTTTGTTTGCTTTTTTGTTACGTTTTCACGCTTAAACCACTAAACCGATAATAAACATTCTTTCATCAATGGAAAGCTACATTATCAACGAATAACATAGGCTTTACCGCTATAACCGACATAGACGCAGCAAAAGCAAAACCTTAATAATTATGTTACTTTCGGGTCGAATCGGAAGTCGGAGTCGGAAGAGTTTTATTATATTTTTTTTAATTCCGCTTTTGATTTCGACGTTGAGTCCGCTTTTGTATTCATCGGGCAATATCTCTTGCTGTTAAATACCGGGGGCATGCTCTACCAGTCAACTTAGGGGTGATGTAGAAATATTATGCTGTATGTGCATAGATAAAAATGACATTTAAAAGTTAATGGTTAATCAAATCGTCAATCGTTATAATCAAGTCACATCCAACTTAATTACATAAATATATTATTTTATATTATTATATATACAAATCAAACACGCACACATATAAACAAAATATGTGCACAAATAAACATAGAATATAGACAACATTAGCTTCAGTAATAAAAATTAACTATATTAAGTTTGAGACAATTAAAACAAATAATATTTAATCTAGTTTAAAACGTTCACTGTACCAATAAGTAAACAATAACACTATTGTCTTATCGTCTCTAAACATTAAATCCTGACGTTCAAGATGTAAATAGACAGTCTCAGACTGAGATCAATTAGGTATAAATTGTCCTATTTATAGATAGATAAACGCACTTGACTCCTCATCAAAACTTTACAAGAAACAAACAATAGAATAGCGTAAGTCTATGATATGACAATACAGGACAAAATATCATTATAACCGATAATGGAGGTGACTGTACGTAGTTTTCACATTGAGCTTTCTTGTGCTAAAATGCTTTCTTGAAAGTTTTTCACAGTTTTTTTGTTTTTAAGTAAAATTAAAGATACTTCTTGAGGATGCTGTCAAATGCAGTACTAATTATATTGTGACAAAACCTGATTTCTCCAGTCGACAATACCAGTAAATAACAGGTCTTTTCGACGTCTCATGACGAACATATCCACCTATTAAGAAGTAGCCTTATTACCCTAGATGTATTTCAGAGTCTATAGAAATATTTGTATACGTTGCTCTGTAGTTTATATACAAGTAAATTCAAAAGCCTTGGTGGCGAATTGATTCATTATAACACAAACCCTTCCACGCAGTTCCACAAGCTTTTCTGAAGTCTATATATGAGTATTCTAAGAGTTTTGATGTTGTCAATTGTAAAATCTTCAAATCCGCCTTGTAGCTTGAGAAACTCTTAAGATTTATTATACTCCTTACAAATACAGTATTAAGAATGGGTGGAAGAGTCATACACACATAAGGGACAGGCTCGACCGAGCCTTCTGTTTCTTTTCACTGAGTCAGTGAGGTTACTGAAGTCCAACCCATCTCTTTAACTCTAGAGTGGGGAGTCTTGAGCTGCAGGTGTCCATGGGCGGCGGTAGTGACTTACCATCAGGCGACGGAGCGAATCGTTTGCCCCCTTATACACATAAATTCTTTCTATCTTTTCCTTTCTTTTTTAAAAAAGATAACTCCTCCATTAGGGAAATATCCTGTGTCACGGGGGACTTTATAAACATACATGAAACGGACACAAAGAACACCCAGACTCAGAACAACAATTTGTGAATTACATGAAGTGTCGTCCCATGTGGGGAACGAACCTACAACACTCCGCGTAGTAGTAAGAAGTGAAACAGAAAAGACATAGGTAGAGGACACTTGAATTTATTTACAGAACTTACATGAACAGATACAAACCGTGGGAGAGCCATGCTTCGGTATAAATAAGACGGTGCAACCGGAGTGATACCACGAGCTCTCAAAAAACCTTCTTTCTTAAACAATTATTTCGCCCAAACAATTCCCCCCTCTCTTGATTCTCGGGACAGGTTCAAAAACACACTGGAGACTCTTGAGTTGCAGCTAGTAGTTGGAGCGGAGGTAGTCACGTACCAGATGACCCGTATGCTCGTTTGTCTCCCTACGAAACTGCGGGGAAAATCTAGCTAATTTATAAACACAGATTATGTAGAAACTCTGACCTCTAAGTGTACAATAATTATAACAGATCTTATAGTTAAGACACAATGCATAGTAAGAGGTTGCTCGCCTCCACGACACTCGTGTATTGGGACTAAGGACGAACGTTAGTTGTTCTCAGCTGAGATGTGATCGTAAGTTACCCACGGCTTTGAGTTACTCACTGAAGTTATACGTTTTGTTTTTATTTAGCAACATTTCAACGAATCACATAAAGATTATTTGTTTAGATTTTGCTGTTGAAAAATAAATCAAAAACAACTTCAACTGTGTAAAATCTGCTGCATATTAGCATTAATGGCAAACAGAACTGTAATCTTAAAATGATGCTAGATCTAATCAGAACACTACGTAACTGTTAAAAAATTAATTAAGATGAATCTAATAGATACGTATCTACTTATGCTAGTAACTATAATATATTTTTTATGTGAATAATAAAAAAAACTTGGGACACACACGGCCGTCTGATTCCGAACCAGGCTGCTGATAAACATATCCATATAATATATAAGTTACACCCAAACTTGGAACCAACGATGGCGCATCCTGTCTTCCCCTTGACCTAGGTAGGAGTCGAACATATGACCTCTGGTTTATAAGTTGACTAGGCCAACAGGCCTAACAAATTGAAAAACCGAAAAGCTTGCCTTGGTAAACTCATTTCTAGATAATACCAATAATGATATACCAAGAATTACACTTTTAATATGATACGTACATCAAGACGGAGAAACACAGTTCCTCAATTTTACCAAAATTGAGGAACCACACAATTGGTCACGCAAATCCTTGTCCGGTTGCTGGTATTTAAACTCTTCGCATTTACATTTCATTATTAGTTATTAAACAAAGTAATTATGGCATTATGGCCTTCAAATTTACGTTTGTTTGTTTTACTTAAGTTTTGCATTTACGTTTTTATGCATTTATTTTTTTGATAGTTACAATTACAGCAGAACCTCAATTTAAACCTATTACCAGATTACATGATCACGCTATATTTTTTTTATAGTTATATAAAGTTCAGATTATTAACATATTACACCACAGATAAAATACCAACTAATGATCACATATCGTTATGTTTTAAAATATCATTTGCACACACATTTCCTAAATCTCATCCGTTAAATCATCATTAGAGATAATAGTAGACGGTATTCATTTACGATATTTTACTAATTATATGATATAATAACTTTATTTACTCAGTTTTGCCCACGGGTTCGCGCGAGTTTTTTTTTTTTTTCTTTTGAACTTTTCCTGCAAAATATGCGAAATTCCGAGTGAACTCATCGCGTAATATATATATACATATCCTTATTTAATAATAACATAGGTATATTTAAAAGCAATATTGAGCAAAAATTGCTAAACGATCGGTAAAAAACTTATTGAGATTCGCTATTATTTTCATAAAAACTAACAATTTTTACACATAAAAATGTTACTTGTCCACAGATGTCAGTCCGCTCCAAAAGTAATGGATAGCCACAGTAGATCGGCATCGCCGCGGGAGCCCACGAGACCGCAACACAGGCCGCCGTCACCACCCTCCACCCCCTCCGGGTTCGACAACAGTGCTTACCAGCACGACGAGGACGTAGACCCGAACCATAATGACTCCTACGCCTCTAACCGACCACAACAGAATGGACATACTAAAGAACATAATGGAGTCTCCGACACTAAAACTCTTGAAGCGGTGAATTTAGAACTTATCAATCTCACACCGAAAAATGGCAACGCGAAGAAAAAAGATGTTGAAGTTGATATGAATACCGCTAATCCATACGACGAATACTTCGTTCCTGTTAATGAACATAGGAAATATATGAGGTCAGTAATATTTATATATTTTGTGTTTTCGTCTCTCTTTTATCTTCCTTAAATAACAGCAACATTTCACATTTAACCTAAGTTTCTTACCAGCACAAAGAAACCAATGCTTCATTATTATCCTATAACTTATTTAGAATCACTACATCAGTCATTAAAACGGTTGTATCTGTCTAATAGCGTTAAACGAGCTTATTCTTGTATATTTATAAACTGAATCTCGGATACGGCTCAAACGATTTTCATAAAATTTTGTATGCATGGGGTTTCAGGGGCGATTAATCGATCTCAGGTAAGATCTCAGATAAGGTTTTATTTTTAGAAAATTTAACAAAAAAAAAACCGGTCACCCAGGTACTTTTTGATTAACAGAACAAGAACCAACTTATCAATGATCTCATTCAAATGCATGTTTTTTTTTTTATTACAAATAATAATATAATCTATGATATACATATTATACAATACTGTCTAAGTACTAAGCAAAACTGTTACTATGGGTTGCAGAAAAAGGAAAAACATACACAAATACCCACACCACACGTTTATATGCCTACAAATGTTTGCACTGAGTAAAAAACAAAAAAAAACAACTCATTGATTGTTTTAACCATGCTTTTAGTTCTGATCACTCTAAGATCAATTGAATTGGATACAAAGTAAAAACAGGAGAGTTCATTTTACTTTTTTGGATGTACCGTTGCTTTTACCGTTGTTCGATTCGAAAACGTCATAGGATTATATATGTACTTAGATGTATATTTATACAGCAAGTAAATACGAACAGCGATAAGTTAACCAACCAATAACGTCATTAATTTTATTTTTAATATCAAATCTGACAAAAAAATTGTTTGAATAATTTCCCCTTGAGGGTTTTGGTGCAATGCCGATTGAATTAATAATAAAAAGCAACAAGATATAGATATTATTACTGTCTGCAAAACAGAATCCACTTCGTCACGTTCAGAAAAAACAAAACAATAGCACTTAATCGAATACGGTACCTAACGATAAAGAACTCTTTATAGATTGATACCGTTTCGACAGCGGGATAAATTGTATGATTGGTGCAAATTTATAACTCCGATGAATTACGCTAACCATTTATTGTTGGAAAGCTTAAATTAATAAAATAATGGTACAACAGTAGTGGCCCACGAAGATGACACTCACTGGTAAGTCCCAGTAAAAATTTAACTGTCTTCGAACTCACAACGAAATAACTCAGAAGTAAATTGGATGAGAAAAAATTATTTATTGTATTTTCTTTAGTTGTTACTTTTGGTATTGTAGTACCCGTTCTAAATAAACAAAATTCCTGTCACATAGCTGCATCCACTCGGCCCTAATATATTACGCATCCGTCGCCGTTCCTTCCGCTCATGTCTTCCCAGGTGCAAAGAAAATGATAGCGATCATACATTTCTATATCTTCTCATAGTTCCATTATCACAAACATACCACAAAATATGTAGGTTTAATGTATAAATCCTTGTCCTTACCAAACTGACTGATTCATCAACGCAGAGCCTAAACCGCTGGCTGAGGCTACAAACTTGAAATTTCGGCAGCTGATGCATGTTATGTTGTAAACACCCACTATTAAAGGATTTTTGGTAATTTCACCTCTAAGAGAGTTAAAATCACAGATTAATAGCTGTATTTAACTTCGTCATTTCAAAGTTCTAAACATGAAATAAGAAATAACCACACGAGCCGTTGCCGCTGTCAATAACTATTATAATATATAATGTCAAATCGCAAAATCGCAATCTTCAAACAAAGACTGAAATAGTTTTGTCAATATTTACCCAGGGTTAATGGTTAATACATTTCACGCTGAATTATATCGTCATCCGAGTCTTGCTCTTGATGAGCAAGACTCGGATGAAGGTTTTTCGTAATGCTTTATCTGCTTTAAACCATGATGGTTTGAAGGTCTAAAATGTAATTTTTATAGTAAAATTAGTTGCGACTAATTTAATAATAAATTATTAAAAAAAAAAGTCATTTGTGTTAAGCTAACAATACTTAAAACAACATTGTTCATGGTATACAATAAAAAACTTTTAGTGTTATGAAAAATGACAAATAGTATTAACATTTTCTTACGTACTGCAAACTATAGCCAATATAATGAGTTGTAGGTATATCCAAATGTAAGGTCTAAAACATCTTAAACAGTAACAGTTTTGGAACAAATATACATAGTTCTTAGCGAACTATTACGCAAAGATAGATAGATGAACTACTACGCAAAGTGTGGAGGGTTCAAACCCCACCTGAGACGACACTTTGTGTGGTCCACAAATTGTTATTCTGAGTCTGAATTGTCTTTGTGTCCGTTTCATGTATGTTTGTAAAGTCCTAATGCGGGAGTTGTCTTTTTTAAGAAAAAGAAAAAAAAGAACTATTAAGAGTTAGTTATCGCTCAACATGGAAAAATGTAACCTGATTTATAATAATAACAACTTGATATATCTCACATACGGCAGTCTGATCCCAAACTAGACAGAGCTTGTACTAGTAACCAGACTGGTAACGTATACTTCTAAATACATACATATTATCATTTGTTCTGTGTCTGGGCGTATTTTATCTATAATATCGACAACGAGTCTCGTTGCCAAAATACATAGACAGTCAAGTGTAAGACACAATAACCGTATACGGAAATATTACACAAACTATTATTATTCGTAACATTCGTATTTTGGTTCGCATGAGCACAACTTAACGATATAATAGCATGATCCGCCGTAATTATTGCCATGACAATATGAATGGTATGGAATAGATTTTATTTAACAATCATGGTTTCACATACACACATAAATTACAAATTAAGAACATACTCGTATATTTTAAATATGTATCATGTTTTAGATGATAGCAAGTATTAGTTTTGATACTGATTACATATATGTAAACTGTGTCTTTTGGTGTCAGATAATGGCAATTTAGTTGTTTAATCTATTTCAGGCAATGGATAGTACTCTTTTTGTTTTTTGTTCGCACTGATGATGTATAGATTGTCTATCAAATTACTCTGGATTCGTTGTGATTTAAATAAAGGGTCTTGCTATGACCATTTTGTTATTATTTTCTACTTGTGATATTGATAATTCTTTCTTGGTATACGATTTATTTTTCCTTGGGGTATATGCTTTTACCTTTAGTGGACTACTCCTATTTTTATCACAATATTACAGAATACTATACAAGGTTTTTACACCACCAAAAGAAAAACACTTAAAATAAACCAATCAAAATTAAACAATTAACTTTTAAGAGAATCTCCATGCCATTACGTGCAGCACGTAACACCATCAAATCCGTGGACAGAGAACTCCAGATCTTTCGAGCGTGTCTAACATTAGTCACAGACCCGCATTTCCGCTTCACTACCACCTCAAATTATTCCTGAATAGACGAGTGTCCTTGAGGTTTATGACCGCACTGTGAAATTTAAATTAGCATTTGCTTGTTTATAAAATCCGCGCCATTTTGCGACAATGTTGCCATTCAAAATATTTTTCCGAAGAGCTATTGTGATCGAAAGCAATTTGTGACTGTTCTAGTTTTGTGAGAAAGGTTTGAATTTCATCTAGAGTAAAACATATCCCTGCCTTATTCAAGGCTTAATTCTTTGAATCCGTTAGTGGTACACATTTCGATCAGCACTCCGTACTAACTACTTCCTAATTAAATAGATTCTAATGTTACTCTTTTCTATAGCAATTCATTAAAGGATAGTCATCATCTTAAGTATTCATGTATTTATTTATTAAGACCGAAATAAGTAAGCATCGGATATTAAAAACTTGATACAAACAAATCGTTCGTGAATTCGTAAGTTAAACCACGGTTTTAAATCAAGATTTAGGTTCACGAACTCGCATCAATAAAAGTCGATATAATACAACTGATGCTTCCCTAGACAAAATAGTAGGACGGCATGAAAATATTGGATAAAAGCACTTTATCATTACAGCAGAAGATAAACCGCACAATTATGTACAATAGTATGCTCAACACTGCAAGCGCAATTTCAACAAAAAGGTTCTTCTCTCGTGACTTCCGCGGAATGTAAACATTGCCGACTAAACAAACATAACCTATTTAATATTCTAAAACCAATATGGAAGACATACGAATACGCATATACACATTTATAGAAATAATAAATCTTAACTTTGACTCCGGCGCTAAAGTTAAATTAACTCTCAATGGTGATCTGGAAAAAAAATTAGCCACAGGAGAAGATGCAATACGTCCTTCTTAAGATATCTAATGAGGGTTTTCGATACTTTTTTTGCCACCAGACGGCGCTTCGTTTGCGCCAGGTCCAAACAGCTGTCAGATAGTACAGATTCTTACTAAACGTAACTGATACGTATATTTTTAGTCAAATTCTATGTATTTGGAAGTGTTATTCAGTTTATTATGGATTACGACCAGAGAAAGGTTGCCGAACTGAAGATTGAGCTCAAAAAAAGAGACGCAAAAGTTTTATTTGCACACAGAGGCACTGCAAAACACTGTGGCATTTTAGAAAATAATATTTCTTTTGTAACGTTTTTAAGAATGAATAAACCAAAAAAAGTGATCGAAAAAATACAAATTATGTATGTGTTTTGACAGGTGGTTGGACCTGACGCTACAGTGCCGCCATCTCACGTGGAACATTTCAGAAAACCCTCATTGGTGTTACGCATAAATACTTTATTGTATTAACGCTAAAATCTTTCTGTACTACTGTATAATTTAATGCCTTGCAAAACATTTTGCCTTAGCAAACATTAGGCACCAATAACCTGGCCATCTTCCCTTGGGATAGGGCCTAGTAGGTGCTCGTCGATCCAGGCGGGACCTGACATCACATGGTCCAGGTCCTCCCCAGAGTACTAAGGTAGGCCATCGGGGTAGTTTTTAGTGGAAATACCACATACTCCTGACTCCTGGAGAAATTGACAATTAGATTAGCAATCGCAATT